TATATAGATTGTCTCTGTTTATCGTTGAAATTTTATGTTGTTGTTATGATGTTTATGTTTATTGTATGTTTATGTTTATTACTAGTTTTTAACACGTTCCTAATAATAAGCTGCTACGCACCTCTTCATCGTGGAAAATTTTTGCATTATCAGAATATTTAAATCTAATACATTTACATTCATTTTTCTAATGAATTCTTTTATCAGGCAGCAAAGATAAGATATAAATTTTCTGCAGAGAGATCCTGAGAACGCGTGCGTGTTTTCTCAATCGATGTGCGAATTCTTTCGTGCGGACTTTGGTATTCTGTTTTCTTACCCCCTTCCTTGCTAAAAGTATACTTAAAAGCAGGAGTTTGACGGACGGCGCTCTGGTAGGCACCTGTGACCGCATTCGAGAGTACAGTCGTCAGTCGAGAGCCGGAGTTGAGTCTGGTTGGACTCATAGCTACAGCACTGGACGAGGTTTCTTGAACAAACGGAAACACTTTCACCGAGATGCTGAGGGAAACGCTTCTCGTTTTCGCGGCACTTCTCGTGTTCGCCAGTGCCACGTTAGTTAATCAGTGTGAGACTGGTACGTAAAATATCGAGCAAAAATATAAAAATATTACGAAAACATTAATATGTGTATCTGAAGTACGGTTGTAATTTTCAATCAATTATGCTCGAAGCGCAGATCTTTGTCATTTTTACCTTCATCTTTCTCTTGAGTTAATTTCCATTTTTATTTTCTCTCTTTCTTCAATTTTTTTAATCTTTTTAATTTATTCATTCGTATAATACCGAAAGATATACGTACGACGAAATGGTGCATAAAAACTTGGTAGATTGATTGAATAATCAACAGCGAAATTGTTATTTCAAAAGCGCGCAAAAGAGAAATTTTTTTTTAGATAAAGTGTCTCATATTAAAAACTTTGCGGAGATAATTATAAGATTTACTTTAAAATTTATTAAAAGTTATAATCGTTTTTTGATGTGAGTGGAAAAGTCATAGACTTTAAGATGCTTATTTTAAAATTAAAACTGCTTCCTTTTTACGCGAGAAGATCTGTCTATACCGTTGAGTATCTTCATGAAACTTTCTTAGCGTTGCACTACATTTTAAAATTTTATAATACACAGCGTTTCTAAAATATTTTATCAAAGTTTGCATCGATGCATTTTACTAACGATATTTTTGAAAAATGTTATAAATAAAGACATGTATAAATGTGTAAATTTTTGTTCAACTATTTACACTGAGAAAAAAGATTGTTAAAGATTGTTAATAAGAACTAAACAAATTTCCGTTAACAACTTTTTTTCTCACAATCGGTAAGAAACACAGATAGTCTTTCAAATGGAACTATGAACTTTATCAGACGTTCAAAATGCTTTGTCTAGGACTATTAGATAATGGCTGTCGCTTATCATTATCAACAAATGTAATGATAAAAGTAGACAAAACATAAAAAGGTTTAGTAAAGATCCAGCAATTTAAATATATATATATATATATATATATATAGATAAAGTACATTTAGAGGACTACACACATGTTACATTTCAAGTTGATGATAAGTTATTTACTGTTATTCGATATTTATAAACAATCAGTATTTATATTTTATTAGCAATTCACATCTAAGCAGTAATAAGTAATATAAATAATACTTTATTGTATAATACTTAAATGTTAAAAACTTTTACTTAGCATGTAATATAAAAAAAATTAAAAAATTTAAATTTGTATAATACTTTTTTCATAGAATCTACTGGGAAATGTGGCCAAACATTTTGAAAATATTTTAGAGATTGTCGCAATTTGCAAAATTTAAAATCTTTTGTACGACACATTGCTTTATATTATTTGAGTATATTCAAATATATTTGTTTTATGACATTTCAAGTACATTTATTTATTATATTTATTTTTTGCTAAATTTTCACAACACATACACGATACGAATGCATTATATAACAAATTGATCAAATAGAATTTGTTCTTTAAAGATTATCGAAGGTAACGTCATTATGCGAATAAGTATCGAATGATTATGAACATCGAAGATTGGTGCACTCGTGACAGATATTATAATTGGCGTTCTCGTAATTTTATCACTGCACGATGTGCTTAATAACTGCTAATTATTGGAGGCACAATGTGAACGAGCTGCGGCATTGTTATTAATACCTATGTAATTACTTACGAGAAACATAATTGACACGCGGTGAAAGTGATGAGCGGAATACTAACGTGAGCGTTAATTTACGACCGACATGTTTCACCATTAGAATTTCAATGTCAAATTAGGAACTTTACGCGTCGGCTGTGATACATAAATATTTTCATCCGTTCAAATTCTTGAATGTAGTATCCTTGTTAATGCTTAACCGTCGAAACCAACAAGAAGAAAGAATATATATAGAACTTTATAGATTGCGATTAATGATAAATCTATTTGCAGATATTGCTAAATATAGATTGCGATTAATGATGAATCTATTTGCAAACAATTGCAGTTTCCCAGGCAGTACAAAGATATTGTGCCACTAGCAATAAATGCAGTATTACTGCAATTTTGATTATCCTGGAATTTTTGATAACGTTTCATTGTATGTACATGCCTTTTTAGTAAAATATCTATTTTATCAAACAATATTTTTAGCTGTAACGTGGTTTCTGTTCAAGTTATTATGTGCTTTTATCTGAATTATTGAATCGCAATAATGAACTAAGCAATAAATGTACATGCGACAAAAAGTTACATCAGAAGTACACCACAAAGAAATAATTATAAGGAATGTATGACAAAAATTAAAACGTCACAGTCAACCTTTGCGTGCCAATGTTTATCAAGCTTGTATTTGTGTTATTGCCTAGTATTATTTCTTGCTAACCGACTCTCTGAGTATTTTAGCGCTGACCTTCAATCGCGTTCATAACCGTAAAAAACGAACGTATGTATTATTATTCCAACTTATGGATTAACTTACATTTTCTTTTTCACGATTTGTAAGTTGGAGAGATTCGAGGAAAACTACTTATTAGTATCTACATAGTCGACGTAATTTTCTACTTTCTATAAGATATTAATCTAGTGATTCATCATCATAAAATTACTTAACATCCGATGAATCTTTTTTTAAAGTTCTTAAAAACTATATAATTGTTAATTAAATTTACTACCACGAATATTGTATGATACGTTCGTTTTTATGTATAAGTCATTGCTTTTTCTTTACATTGTGTTCCTTCTCCGTAACGAGAATCTTGGCGAAGATCAGCTGTTTCAAGGCGATCAACCTTCAAGTTTTAAAACTTGCTTATCCTCTATTTTTCATCTTACTCAATTTTATACTTATATTATTTCTCTGAGAGTGCGGAATTATTTTGATTTCAAATTACGTTTTGGTTTATAAATAATTATGTAATTTAATTAATGTATATATTTATATATACATGTATATATTTATATTATATGTATTATATGTATATATTTATATAACCAAATAAATTTCATTATCACTATGTTAAAGTATAGCATAGAATATTTTATAATATAATATCTTATTCATTTAGCAATAATTTACGATTTTAGGAGAACCGTTCGAGGATTCCTCGCAGATTAGCGTATCCGGTTGCGACGAACCTGAGTGTCCTTTGAAACAAGGAACGACTGCCACCATAGAAGTCAAACTTTTGCCCAGCAGAACTATTCAGAGCTTGACTAATGATGTGAAAGGGGTCCTTTTTAACGTGCCCTTGCCCTTTGTGGGAGTCGATGGGACAAATGCCTGCGATAACATTTACAATCCTGATGGTAGCAAAGGTGGATGTCCCTTGAAGAAAGGAGTGCAATATATATATAGGAACAGTTTCCCGATACTGACGATATATCCTAGGGTAACTTGACAAGCTTTCTAAAAATTTAAGAGAAGACGCGCGTAATTTTTCGCAGAAAAATTAAAAATGATTAAATTGATTGAACAGAATATCTTCAACATCCTTCGTTTAATTATGCATGACTGTTTCGTAACTAGATGATTTTTACTTGTTGCAACAAATCATAAACCGTTTATCATAAACTCTCTGTTTATAGGTTGCAGTGGTCGTACGTTACGCATTACGAGAAGAAAATAACCAGGTGATATGCTTTGAGATACCATCAAGGATTACGAAATAAAACGCATTGCTGAGTTGGACATATTATAATTAAAAATTACAGCGAATATAGCCCACGTAGCTCCGAGCTTATATAATTTAATTGATCAATATTATGAAATATTGTATGCAATTTTAATCCTTCCAATACGAAGCTATATTGCAATATGTATATAATATATTTTTAATAAAATAACTTCACTTTTAATTAAAATTTTGTTTTACTTAATTTATTTATTTTCTTGTAAATCTCGAAAAAAATCTCTAAATCTCAATAGGATATTTTCAAAAGCAAAATTATTCTGTTAGAAATCAACATAAAATTTTTTGTAGATCTATTATTAGATAAATCAATTTTTAAATAAATTATTAATATAGTATGAGTTGCTAAATATTTATTAATAAAATTGAATTTTCCATGTTTTTTACCAATAATTATTTAGTATAAGTATTTAATGAGAGTTAGTCATATAAATAGCTTCCACTGACAAGTAAATCGATAAATATCGATGAATAAGACGTGACACATCTGACGTGCTCAAGGTGTGTTATTTTAAAATTCTAAAGACTCATCTGAAAGTCTAAAGTCTAAGTAAAAAATATTAGAAGAAGAATAACAAAAACAAAATAATGTATCTAGACATTTCAAAACACATAATATTGCGAAACGAGTCATAAAATCGCTACCGCACTTCTCGCTGTTATTAAGTAACATTGCATGGTACTATAATTAATATAATGTTTATCATATGTACGTTGAATTTGTATAATGATGTATAATACATGACGTACATTCAATTCGTATTTCGCACAGTTAAACCGAATTGACGCATGCCCATTATTGCGATGTTACCAACGGTCGAGCGGAAAGTATTCACGGGGGCGTATAATCATAGGCCCCATAGGCAGGAGTCGCATAGGAGAAATTTACACACATGAATATTAAAAAATGTCGAAAAATGACAAAAAAAGGCAACTTGCAAATGAAGCATATAACTCGACTGAGATTGATTCCCTGGAATATGTGTACATACAGCCTTTGTGAAAAATCCCACTGAAATAACGTAGAAAAATTCGTCGCACCTCCCCCTTTGTCGAATGAGATTTATTATTTCGAAAAGTGTAAACAGTGTTTATGAAACATTGCGAAAAAATCAATTTTTGATAAGTTTTTAAGGACAACAATCTCACGATTACAACATACATTTCATTCTTAAACAGAAGTGTTTTAAAAATTTGTACAAGAGCGAAAGATTCCGTGGGGTGATCTTTCTTCTCAGCGGTGGCGAAGGGGGAGGGGAGGAAGGATATAACGAGAAAATGAAAATATATTAACAAGCAATTACCCGCACAATAAATCTACCTATCACGTCAGCCACGTGATGTTTCTCTTCTGGTTTATCGCACGTGTCATAGCGCTTTTCACCGGCATAATTTCAACGGCAAATTTATAACGTGCGCGTCGGTAGCCCGCGTCGATGCTATCGTTGCATTTCAATCGGCGGGGATGTTGGGTAATTACAGCTACGCACGTAGGCGGTGACTCTTTAATTACGATATTGGACTGTTCGCAAGATCCGCGAGATTAATCCGCTTAACCGCGTTCTGAATGACACGTTGTTAAGTGACTAGCACTATGCGATCGTTTTAAACAACGAGTCGAGATATTAAGAAATAACAATGGCAAAAAGCGGAAGTCGCACGTTGACACGTTTATTTGTATATATAATTAATGCTAAATATAATAACAATAATAATGTATTAACAATTAGTCAAATTTATTTTGCGTTTGATTTCGTTTTTTTAAAGGGCAAACGTAATGTAAATATAATAGATACTCGAAAAACCGATTATTTGATACAGCGCGATACAGACCAATTGGCACTCGGCCATTTTCTCTGCCACATTTTTCCTTTGGCTTTTTAGGATAAATTAATTATTTCAGAAATAAATTAATAAAATTATAAGCGTGAAAATAGAAGTTTTCTAATATATAATAAAACAATTAATAACGACAATGTAATTGCTTTTTTAGTAATCAGATTAAAATTTTTTTCATTTGCAATTATTAATCTCTATTATCTTCTAAAAAAAAATCTTTTTTATCGCGAAAGTGCCGTTTAAAGTTTAAAACTTTTTACATCAAAACTTTTACAAGACATTTGCATTTATCCAGATTTGTAAATAACTTAGGATTCCTAGAAATTCTCATTATCAGAAAGTCATTAACAATTAAAATTTATGTAATCAGAAGGTCAGTTTTTTAAATCGCTGTTTCATAATATCTTTATTTATAGTTTATGATACAGCTGAAAAACATCGCCGATGGCGAAAAATTGACTTATGATGTATTTTTATGATGTAAATTGACAAATGATGTATAGTTATATATTTCGAAAGAATATTTAACTCGGCAAAATGACTCAGTATTTCATAATGTTATGTTTATCTCGATAAGGTGACGATGGATTTGTTTCGTCAACGCATCAATTATATTTTGTGCATAAATGAATAGAACTATACTTCGTATATTTCGAATAAAATATTAAACTGATTGGTGACAATTAAATGACGCTAAATTAAACATTACAAATTAATAAATAATTATCATTTCATTAATATATACTTGATTAGCGATATTTCAACGTAGCATGATTATTTCTGAGCGCACCGACGCAACGTAATTAATTATACATGAGATAACTTAGCCAAGTAATTTTTTATCAACTTATCACAGTTAAGTATAGATTTAATTGCTTAATTTTCTTAATTGCTTGATTAAATCGTGTGGTTGATGAAATTTAGTTTTTTTTTTTATTAAAGATAGATATGTAGCAATAGTTTGTTATCCTACTTTATGCCAAATATATATATTCCTTATTTTTCTTAGTTTTATTTTTATTTCTCTGTATTTGACTTTCAAATGTTTATTGCATTACTTTGCTCATGAAAAGGTAACGTATGAACATTATATTAAATTCATATTCAGTAATTTATTTCTATCAACATAGATTAACTTTAATAAATATTATTCAATAAAAGATTAATTTATATTCTTTTTATTTTTCAGAATTAAAAAGAAATAGAAAATAAATTCAACTGAGATTAAAGTAATTAATTTACATTGAATAGGAAATAGAATAATTAATAAATAAGTCGATTGACCATGCGAATTAGTTATTCCTTGAATTGAGTTATTCCAGTATTTAATTTTTAAGTGCTCTTCTAACCTCATGCGCCATCTATCTTCCTTGGCGCCACTCTTGTACGCCGCCATCTTTGTCTCGCGCTGTTCCGCGCCAGTTTCAGAGCGTTCAATTGTCCTCAGTTGCCGTCTCGCGTATTCGTATACAGTTCAAGCGTTCGTCGGAAAGTGGTGTTCGCGTACGGATGAACGATCCTATCGATAGATAGTGATCGTCGAATGTTGGACATTTATTGGCGTCGATGTGCATCGGTTATTACACGCGGTCACGGTTAATCACCATTGTAACCCGCGTTGTCAATCGATTTCGCATAACAGATAATATATAATTGGAGTCAGATATCGTCATCAAAATGTCCGGCGACCGTTCAAAGCTGGGTACAGGCGATAATCGTCCCGTTGTTCCGTTTACGATTAACACGCGCGTCGTGCGTTTTCAGTTTTCGCGGTGAAATTCACTGTGTTTTTTTTATTTGCTCGTTAATCGCGCGCGTAAGGCAGATAATCTGGCGGCATTGTCTGTTGAGCACAACGCAGTGGTTCGTACGTGATACGTCATGTCGATTCACCGTCGCCATGTTTAATTACGCCTAAAAGGTACAACATTTCATTCGCAATCGATGCTAAATTACACAGTCGTATTTTCCGTACTATTTTGTTCACTTGCTAATCTCATTTTTCTTGTTACGCGAGATTAATATTTTCTTTTGGGATTTTTAGGGATTGCGGAGAAAACTGAGAAATGTGCAGGAAAAAGAGCAACGAAATCTCTGAAATTGGAATTTTTCGCTGGGTCGTGAAAGAAGCAACGAACGCGAGGACAGCGGCTGCGTAAAGTAAATTTATTTATGTTATCTATCGTAATTATCAATTGATTGATTACCGCAACTGCGTTTTGATAAACTCCATAATCAAATAGAGAGAGAGAGAGAGAGAGAGAGAGAGAGAGAGAGAGAGAGAGAGAGTAGTATTATTATTATTA